GAGGCTTCGTAAGTTGATGTGTGATGAGTCTCTGAGAGCTATGGTGGCCAGTCGTCTCTACAATGCCCCCTCTGCTGACACAAATACAGATGCCGTCGATGACATGGTAAGTCTTGAGTGGTGATGATTTAAAATAGGAGGCAGCATATGTTGTCGAGTGGCCAGTGCATCGGACTTGCAATCCAGTGTTTCTGGGTTCAAATCCTACTCTAGCCACTTTCTGGATTTGTTCTCAGTCATCTTGAGTTAATATCCTCAGCCACACTTGTATAGCCAACTGACTGCCTCCTACCAGTTGGTATTTAATCCTGTTATGGGCTGCTTCATGTTCCAGGTATTTTGCCAGAACATGTAAATTACACATCACACCAGGTGTCTTGTAGGGCGTATTGTGTGTGTTCCACTAGGCGTGTGTATAAAATGTCAAAGCAACTTCTGACTAAAACCTCGTGTAAAAGTTTGACACTAGTCTTTCACTGCCAGAATTTCTCAATACTAAATGCTTTTCCACTGTCAGAGATTTCACTTTTAATAAGATCTTAATCATACACGTACAGCAAATCTTTCTTTGATAAACACCATGCCCCACCTTATGTCTCATCCCATAATCTATGCTTGACTTCTTGTAATTAATAAAGATTATGTGTGTGTTGAGGCAAAGTTGTCCTTACGAAAAGTTTCTCCTTTTCGTAAGGACACATGTCCAACCAAAAGCATTGTCAGACATTCAGTACATTACGTTGACTTTTAATTTGTTTATCACTATACAAAATTAATCTTCATCTACAAAATGATAGTCTAAAGTATTTGATTTGTCTAGTTACTACGTGTATTAGCCCTCCATGAAGACGGCTGGTCACGCAATCCTCTCCAGTGTGGGGAAGGAATGCATGACAAAACCCTTAACTCTTTAAGCCCCACTAGTGACCCACATCCAATTTCTCCCAACATTAACACTGCCTGACCAAACAGATGTGTCATGAGAATTGATGAAATGATCATCAAAGATAAAATGTTGTGATGTTAGAACAAGATTCTCTCAAGCAGTCCCATAAGGAATGTATGAAGAACAGTGTGGAGAAGATGCATGTTGATGTTTGGGCTTAAAGGGTTAGAGCGTCCACATGGGAGGCTACATGTCCTTGGGAAAATTGTGAACGGTACATTGTCTAATAATTGACTGTTGTTGCTATGCAAGCGAGGGTATAGCTACAGCTTTACAAGTGCTTTAGATAAATTTTTTTTGCTACAGATGTATGTACTTTGTCTTTTTTTTATTGTACTCACAACGTTTTCTGTTGTTTTATGATTGTTCCATTGAGTGTTATTTCTTACCATGCAGCTCATCAGTAGCATAATTCCTCCATCATTCCTTCTGGCACAGTATAAACAGGGCCATTCCACTACTGGCTTAGACTCAAAACAAGAGGCATCTAGCACTGTTGTTAGTAATCGTTATTGTAGTTAAATTGAACTATTTTTTAAATTTTCATTTGAACTCTAAAGTACCGTAAGTCTTTTACAATATTGGACATGTAAACATGATGTAAACAAAGTAAAAGAAACATACTGTTTTGTAGTTTTTTGGACCGTTTTAGTTTGTCTTTTGAATTTGTTGTTTCATTTTCCTTTTTCACCGCCTTTGCAACTTGAATTCCTCTTTTGCTGATGTTTATTTTGGTTTCTCTTTACTTTTTTACTAGTATCTTTTTTCTGTTCTTCATGTTGCCAATCAGCCAAGCTATCTTTTCATCGTTTTCTTTCTCTCTTTATTATTTTTTTATCTTTTTGTTTGTCAAGGATCAGTAATTTTAAGTTAAACTCACAAAATTAAATATCTTTTTAAAAAAATAGATAAATACACAACACATTAATAGGAACGTTTTAAAACTTAAATGACACTAGTTAATCGCGCATAATAATTTTTTTAAATAAATTATACACTGTTCAGTTCTTTTAAGGGGTGTAGAATGGTGTCAAATGCTGAATGCTTTGAATCTTATTTTCCAAATCTTTATAAGCTAAAAAAAAACATACAAAACATCTCAGTTTGTTGTTACTTTTTGATGTCACCTTCCTGTTCATCTGTTGCCATTTTAAAGTTGCATACATCCAAACTGACCGTCATTCTCGAAGGCCAATCAGTAACATGCTCGGGTTAAAATACTATCAGTTTTCTTCACTTGTAGTCTTTCGCTTCACAGTCAAGCTTTTATTGGGGGTTAACCTGAGACACAGTCAACATTTTGCTACGTCGCAGCTAGTTTTCCGCAAGATGACGTGTGAGTAACGAACACAGAAATTCCACACTGATGACGCCTCACTACCCAGATCTAGGTAGAGTTTCTGTACGGTAGAAGCAAATTTCCCGCGCGGCACGACCAATCAGAAGCAATGTGCAGATCTGGGAAGTGATACGTCATCAGTTTAGAATTTCTGCGCTCATTCCTCTAGCGTCATTTCGCGGGAAAGCCAGTGGTGGCGTCGACAAGTGTCGCTTGTATTCTCAGGCTAATTAGGGGTCTGACTTTCTGATTTGGGTTTATACCCCATGATAACTTGCTGTTTAATGCATAAAAGAAGCTAGTGGCCGCTTCGTAGGGTTTATCTGTCTGTGTTATTTGGTAACCTTTTGGATACGTTGACTAAAGCCATACTAAAAACCTTGTGGTAATTAGAGAATCTTTAAGAAAGGCCAAGACCATTCTACACTCCTTAGAATATAGACAATTGCACGCTGCTGAGCTGTCACCTTTTGCACTTTATTGTTACTAAGCACTCTCTTCACTATGCTCTGTATGCCACAGCCTAAACTCTGGTGGAACAGCTTGTCCTCACTCTCTCTCGGATGGTCTTCGCCGTCTTCTTCTTCTTCTTCCACTTGGGGCTCTGGGACTGACTTGAACCAGTCTCCGGTCCCTGAAGCAAAGGTAGGTCAGCCTTCTGCTTGCTCGGTCACCATGACAACGTGATTTCCTTCTAAAATAGGTCCTATTGTTTAATGTATTTGCTTGCGTTAGTGCCCCCTTATGATGCTGCAAGTTGACTGGTGAACTATGACAGTTGAGAGGTTAAATCGGTTAGGAAACGCAAAATCGCAAACGCACGATTTACGTAACAATTCCTTTATAGCTCTAAAAGTGAACCTCTAACATTAATAATTCCTAGCATGAGGAAAGCTAGACTAAAGACTTTTGTAAAAGATCCAGTACCTATAAACATTAACCATTGTAATAGTCACGAGGCTCTCAGGGAACTCGATTTTCAGTTGCCTGTGAAAACACATCTTGTATTTTTTTCAGGGCGAGGGACATTGCTTGAATCATTCATCTATTGTTTAATTAGCTAATAGCCTGAGGAAAAAGCCTTTTTACGACGTTGCCGCTGAATTCGCCGCGAAATGGCGTTTGAGAAACGTGCGCAGAAATTCCATACTGATGACGCATCACTACCCAGATCTGGGTAGCGCGTCTGACTTATTGAAGGAAATTTCCCTCAACTAATAAGAAGCACTGCCCATATCTGGGTAGTGACTCGTCTTCATGGAGTTTGGATTTTCTGCGCTCGTTTCGAGAGCTTCATTGCACTTCGAATAACAAGGCCCTTGCAAACTCTAGGAGTAAATGTTCACTGAACTTATTATCAGTGTTTTTAAAATGTTAAAATTTATAATATAAATATAATAAATAAATATTACAAATGTAATAAATATTTGAGGGAATTCAAATTTTCCCTTTAATGTAGAACCAAATCTATAGGAGCCACATTGTTGAGGTCTAAATTTGACTCTAATGTCGGCTTGGTTACAATAATGTCATTTTTTAATAACTATCAAAATTCGCCTTTTTGAAGATCTTTATTTCACTCTGTTGGATTAAAACATAATGATATACAGAAAAACGAAAACGCAATGAATTTTGGTAGTTGAAAGAAAATTGTGACATTGTCGTGATGTTGGCCTGTGGACGCTTTCATTGTGGACAATGGCAGAGTCTGGATTTGCGGCTGAACATATGGTTCTGTCTAAGACAGTTCTGTCATATATTGCTATGAACGCGGCTACGTTACTATTCCTGTTGAGATATCCTTGTTACCAATTGTCATTTGTGGAGCGAGTTGGGAGGGGTAGGATGGTGAATTCGCCTTACTCTAAAATGATTCTTTAGTCTTCGTGTTAATTGGTACTTGTTCCTCCTTTCAAGCTAAATCTTCGTTTGAATTCTGCAGATGTGGCCCGCTGTAATTGGCCACAGCTGTTGCGGTGTCCCTGCCGACGTTCTGTTTGTTTGTTTGTTTGGCGAAGCTAATAAAATAAAAAAATAGATGTCGTGAAGGCAAAGAGGGCTAATTGACATAAACGTGACAGAATAATAAAATTGTCCCCTTTTTATAAGGAGGTTATTTTAGGTTGGTGTCAGTCAACACACCTTGATATTACGACCACTTTGATTCCTCCCAGCAAAATGCCCATTTATTTTCGTGTAAGAAGGCTCCATTAGTGCGGTCAACTCGTTTATGCGTTCAACGATCATTTTTTATGAAATCCTGTATTGCTTTATAAATTCACCTCGTTAATACGACCACTCGTACCAAGAAGTATTCATATCACGTTAATAGGGCCACTCTCAACCTCCAACCTCGTCCACGGACTTTTCCCCTAGAAAATGAGAAAAGCCCTTTGAACGGGGGTGGGTCACCCCTTTAATCCGAGCAAATTCTTATGTCTCTTTGGTGGCCGCGTGAACTGACTTCCACTTCTTCAACTGTATCAATTTTGACTGTCTTTTTTACGTCCGAATCACGGCCAACAACTGCAGTGCATTAATAACTCTCCCATGTATTGTTAGAGTTTGGGGCCTTTAACCGGGTCTGAACTATGTACACTATGCATATACGTTTGTTTCTTATTGATAAGCTATCTTTTTAACAGAGGTCGTCTTAACACAAATCTAATTCTTTTGTTTGTATTTTAGCGTGTTTCTCGAAGTGTCTATAAAGGGATGCTTGAGGTCCTGAAAGCCGCAGTGTATGGCTTCGAAGTCAGTGTGGAAAACGAGGATGTAAAAGGCATTGCCTCAGCATTCCAGTTCCTTGAAATTGCCCACACTCATTACCATGGGCGTGACATTAAGGATGAGATAGCAAGATTGCGTGACGATGATGATATGTCAATTGTCTCTAACAGTGACAGCACGATCTCTAATTTGTCTGACCACTCTCGCGACATGGCGTCAGTTCGTTCCTGGGTTGCCGAGACAGGTCAGTAATCCTTATTTGATTAACTGTGTTTTCTGTCATTTTAATTGTCCTGACTGTTATCCTCATCACATGATTCATCAACAACATCAGCATCTCCGCCATCACCATCATCAACTACATTTCCATGGTTATTGCCATCAGTGCCTTCGTCATCGCTGTCGTCATCATCACCACTAGAGACCTTTAGATTCTAAGACGCGGACGGGTACAAGGACAAAGTTTTCTCAATACTAAGTAGTGCGCGCTCTTAGAGCGGTTTTCATTTGAGTGTCGAAAAGTAATTGGTTTTGCACTTTCTACACGATGCGATTGGCTTAAAAGATTCGCGCCACCTTTTCATCCAATCAGAAGTAAAACCAAAGTCAATTGTGACGCGCTCGCATGCATTTTCCCGCGCTTTGCGTCAGCCACATGTAATTACTTCGAGTTTTGATTGGTTCAATGTATTGTCTGTGTCCTATGTGATTGGCCAGAGTAATTACTTTGGTTTTGGTTTTACGACACTCAAACGAAAACCACTCTATTTCAGCGTCATTTTGGTGGGAAAACGTGATAGCCGTCGTCCTTCTACTATGAGCTTAAGCAAGAATGTCGTAGTGGCGAAAAGAAGTTATCAAATGGTAGAGGTTTTATCATTTTGTGATCGGGAGGGGGCTTAAACTCCGTCAATAAAAATAACCTTACTAACTATTCTGATAAAAAAGTACAGTTGGGCTTTTCTGGGGTGTATTTTATGAAGAGACGCGAAATAACCTTAAGTTTAATCTCGTCCTCGTATTCGCTCTTGTCCTCGAGAGTAAAGGTCTCCACTATGACCATCATCATCCACCATCTTTATCGTCATCGTCATCGTCCACACAACAACCACCCGCACTATCATCATCCTCATAATCACCAGGAGCCGCTCTTGTCACCACCACCACCACCACTACCCATCATTATCATCATTATCATCACCGCATCATCGTCCGCAACGTAGCTTGCGCTGTTATGTTGCCTTCTATAGTCTGAGTTCAACTTAACTTAAAATTATTTAATTGTTGGTTTTCACATGACGTCACCAAAATTCAAACTAAAAAACTATCGATCCGACCGAGATTTTACTTTCACGGTGCATTAGAGCAGCTGGAAACGAATTTTCATACAAATTTTCGCTTCGAAAGGGTTCTTGGTGTTGTGATAGAGTACGCTTGAATTTCTAAGTTTTTGCGTGACGCGGCATGTACATGACGGGCAGGAGAGCTTTCATGGAGGTTAAAAAAACGACTTATTTCAGGAAATTTTGCTCTCTGAACAGTTCATGTATTAGAAAAAGTATTACTTTAATGTTTATTAGTTTCTCGAAGAATAAATTCACGCCTTTGTAGCAAAACTCGGTAACAGATGTTTCTGTTGGTTTCCGTCGGCCATGTTGGAGCTCATCCAGGTGAGCACTAGCATGGCGTCTCCATACAAATCTCTAAGAGTTTGGGTAAAACATTTCTGCGGATATCTCGTATACGAAATATTCCTCTGACGTGAATCTTGGCGAGGGTCTTTGTATATGTAACTCCTTTCATTTCCCAGATTCTGGACTTTATCTATTGAACGGTTTTGATTTTGATTTTGATTTATTTTGAATGGCGTGACAATGAAAACCAGCAATTGTCTTGCAGGCAAAAGACATGCCGTGCTAAATGGCAAACTTGATGAAGATAGTGGTCATGGTGAAATGAGCGACACTAACAGTGAAATAGACACGATCATGTCCTCAGTATCGCACAGCAGTAACAATACACGTGTAACGCATGAACCGCTGACACGTTCGAACAGTGATGTCGCTGCCCTGTTGAGTAGAAGGGGACGAGTCCTGAAAGACAAAAGAAGTAGATCCATTGACCAAGCTAGGACTCTGGTAGGTTACACTTAAAAATAAGAGGAGGGAAATCTTCTGACGTGCTGTAAAATTAGGATAAAATGTGCTGGGCCCAGTAGTTTGAAGGCTGATTAGAGCTTAACCCAGGGTCAAAATTTAACCCGGGTTTTTTTTCTTTTTTCAAAAGCATTTTCCTGGATAATTTTCTGTGTTATTTTTAAGAGCATCCAATCATCTACTCGTTGACAAAAAGAATTAAACTGAATTACTTTTTAAGCTTTCGTATCTCAATTCAAATTTCGCACTAACCCTCGATAATCTTAACCCAGCTTTGAACAACCCGGCCCAGGCGTTTGGCACCCTGCTAGTAGCTCCTTTCTTTTGCTTACGCGATTTTGGCGTACTCGACAAAGACTCTTTATGTATCGCGTTAGATCTTTGCTGGGCATGCGCTGCTTGTTGCTAGGATACAGGTTCAATTCCAGGCCTAATAGCCGTGCACGTGGTATAGTTTTGACCATCGGTTTATTAATAAACAGATGCTCGCTCTCATAAAACGGGTTCGACGAAAGGAAACAATGTGGACTGATACAGAAGTTTGGGCTGCTGCAACTTGTAATTTTGACACGATTCAGGCACGGCCTCCTTTTTTTCCTCTTGGAGTGGGTAAAGAAGAAGACAAAGGGAGGCTCTGTTCGCAGGGTGGGGATTTGAAGGCTTCTGTCTCTGTATCAGTGGAAATAGGTTAACCCTTAGAATGATCAGCATCAAATTTCTCCTTGTTATATCACTGCTTTATAAAACACAGTGGTCATGAGAATTAAGGATATGATCACACAAGATGAATCTAATTGATACTTTATCAAATTCTCCCCACTACTTCTATTGAAAACGTATAGGGATAACAAATGAGAATTTGAATTTTGATGTTAGGGTTTAAAGGGTTGAGAATGCCCATTTTAAACGCTGATTCATTTGCTGACTTAAATAGTTTGAGGTAACCATCAGGGTTAGATAAATCAAAACTTAGCAGTAACTAGTATCCAATATTAAAATTCCAGGAAAAAGTAAATTGTAAAGCATTGACTGTCCTTTGAAAGCAATGGTGAAGCGGCGTGGTTCAGAGCTAATTTAAATTCATTTAATAGCCATTAAAGTTAATTCTGTGTTGACTATTGGAGCCCCAGTGGTGGCCAACACGAATTCGTCGGTCACTGTATGGCCGTCACATACATCTTACATTGTATTAGCGGTGATTTATTTCTCTACTTAGGTTTTCAAGAGATCCTGTAACTCCATCAGTCTGCCATCTTGTAACTTAACTAATAAAAACAACCTTAAACCTCGTGTTTAAGAATTCATTTACAAATAATAACTCAACCTTATTTATCAGGAAATGGCTAGAGCGAGCATGGAAGAAAAACGTCGGCTGGAAAGATGCAAGAGTCCAGCGCTTGCTCACATGAAGTTAGACAGTACCGTGACACGACGCGCCTCATTTGACCGCTTGAGCCAGGCTTCGTCTTCCATCCCTCCAAGTGCCTTGCTGAGAAAAAGCAATTTAAACAAAGGTAAGAAATAACGCCAAGTGATTATTGTAGTTTGATAACCTTTGGCAAATTACATGAAATTGTCTCTTCAATATTTTTTGCGGTCAAACCTTCCCCTCGCTCCCCTGAAAAGTAATAGTGGTAATAATAATGATAATAATAATAATAATGATGATGACGATGATGATGATGATGACGATGATGATGATGGTGATGATGATGATGGTAATGATGATGATGATGATGATGATAATTGATAATAATAATAATAATAATAATAATAATAATAATAATAATAATAATGATAATGATAACATTAACAACAACAACTAATAATAATAGCCAAAGGTTACGGAGTGCGGGCGACAACGATCGAAAGTCAAAATGCTTTTGCTGCAACGCTGTGATGTGTTCTTTGCGTATGTTTCACGTGATTGATGGTCAAGACATGCGTGATCAGATAACGATCGAGTGATAGAAGGACCAAACGCGCGTGATCAGATTGCGTTCTGTGCATTCCATTTATTCTTTATGGAAGTCCAAACAAAGCTGGCTACATAACTGCTTTGCATGCGTAATAGCTACCTAGAGATTAGGATTGCGGGATCCAAACATTCATAAGTGCAGTAAGTTGTTTGCTAATTTGTGTCTGGTTTTCCGTACAGGCTATCGTTACTACAATGGTGACATTTTCCCCGTGGAGGGGGAGGAGGGGAGAAGAACTACAGGACGCCGCTACTTATTCGAGGGACTGTTAAACGAGAGGTCATCTCTGTGGGATAACATGGATTTCTGGGAAAATGTGTTCCTTGATTCTGTAGCGACTGAGAGAGATGCAGTTGGTATGGATCAGGGACCGGTAGAAATGATTGACAGGTGCGGCGGTATCTTTAGCCTGCAAATGCGGACGTATTTGCGGTCGTCGTTTCTCTTCACCCGAAAAGTAACTTTCGTAAACGCTTCCTCGTTTCATTTTCGACTTGTATTGTAAACATACCCATCGCGCACGAATCTTGCGAGAATTCGCGCGAGATAGTTCTTGGTCTTTAAGAGCTAAACTGTGATTGGCTAATGATGTCCTACGTCACAGAAATCGTTTGGCGGCTCGGGTTCGCAGACGTTGCCTTTCGGGTGGAGAGAAGCGACGACCGGGAGCACGTCTGCGTTCGCAGTCTACGGTATCTTTCACAGTACGAGACATTCACATTTCAGACCAGGCGCGGATCTAGGATAAATACTGACCGATTTCGTAAACGAGCGCCGAAGGCACAAGCTTTTAGGGGGGTCCGGGGGCATGCTTCCCCCGGGGCTTTTTTAGATTTTAACCCCCTAAAGTCGCCTTTCCTACGTTTTCGAGTCATTCGGACAGGATATTGGCTAGTTCCATTCACCTTGGGTGAAGCCCGCCAACTTGGAAAGTTTTGTTTTATTTATTAAAAATATATCGATTTTGAAAAATCTGACCGATTTCCGTAAAACCGCGGAAACCGGTGTGGATCCGCGCCTGCAGGTCAAACCCGTTCCCAGTGTTCTCTCCTCGTACTCGTCCCCTGGAACGAGAAGAGAAGACTGGGTACAAGGTTGACCTCGGGCGGTAAAAAGAACGTACACTTTTCCAACTAAGAGTGAAAAGGTTCTTTATTTTTGGGTACTTCTTGAGAAAATAGGCTTTTTAAGGTCCTAATTAGGTTCATATTTTTGTGGCGACAAATGACCTGTGATCAAAATGATGAATAGCGATCGTAAAAAATGAAATTATTTAGTATAATGCAGAACACACTGGCTGGTAAGAAGGGATTGACAGTCTAAGAGCTTTTCTGCCGTTAGATTAGGAGTAGTTAATCGTTAATGAGGTGGATAAAGCTATGTAGTGGATATATCTCTATCTAGTGGATAACGCGATTGGTTTCCCTTAGACTTATCCTTTGGATAGCGCTATCCAACGCTTGAACAACCGCAAAAAAAAATTGGCAATGAGATGAGAAACTCTTGTTTCAACCACTTTCATTCCCTTGGGCATACTGTATAATTGTGAGGACGTTTATTGTAGCTCTAAAATTTGAGTTTCAAGTTGAAATCCTCTGGCACATGACATTATGGGTGAGCTGATTACCTTGTTTTGCTTGCTTAGGTACAGCTCCTTGGGTCCTGCGGAGAAGAAGCGACTGGAGGCAGACGAGGATCGACTTCTAGCCACACTTTTGTACAACCTGGTTGCATTCATGTTAGCTCTGAATGTTGACAAGGATGCTTTGAGAAAGAAAGTTCGCAGGCTGTTAGGGAAGTCTCACGTGGGCCTACTGCAAAGCCAGCAAGTAAATGATTTACTTGACAACCTCAGTAACCTGGTGAGTTAGTTTGGATCATTATACTGGGAAACTGAACACCCCCCGGACCTGCATGACCGAACTTCGGAAGGTAATATTTCGCCTCTGGATCCGAAGTTCGCAAAGTGTACGACCTGTAAACGGCTTATTAGCTCTTAATAGGGGTGATCCCGCACCTATTTGAGAGATTGTTTTTGATTAGCTGGGAAAACAATAGGGATTGTCACATAACAATGCCCCTATCCCTGAAACAATGGAAATGTAGATTAAAGGGGACCAGTGAAATAAGACGTTTAGGACGGTGCTGTTCTACTGCTTAATAGCCATACAGTGACCAGAAAAGGGCTCTAATGGCTTCAAAATGCGTTTTAACGGTAAAATTTTCAGGAGCGAATGGGTTAAACTCTGTTATACTGAATCTCGCTATGGACAAAGCGATTTCTTACATATAGGATGGTATTACCCAAAGTCATTTCCAGGAAGGCGAGTAGTGTGCCGCAAACGTTTTTGTTTGAGTATTTATAGCTTCGTAAAAAACTTCTTCGCTTAAGACTTCTGTTTTTACACCTTTCAATTCTCGAAAATCGTCGAAGGGCCGAATAAACATAAAAACCGGGGGGGGGCGTAGCGATCGGCAGCGCAAGGGGGTAACGTGGGCAATTGAGCTTCAGGGTCTTTCTCGCTTCGCGCGAGGACTTGTTGAGTTTCCGGGGGGGATGGACAAATAAAACGTCTGAAGGGCAGATTTCCTTCGATTGATTAGCAATTATTGTTTAAATAAAATAATTGTGAGATGTCTGATTATATAATGTTTGATTTTTTTAAGTATGCGTTAATGGATAACAAAACAAATTTGGCTAACTTTCTGTTTGAAAACTGATTTATCTTACTTGAAAGTATATATTTGACAAATATGGTGTTCGCTCCTTGGCCTGTAAAAGGAGAAAATATTTAAAATTAGATCATCTCTATGGGAACGTAAGTGATCAGGAAATATCTTTGACAAAGCTTTTGTTTTAGCTCCTTCTTGACAATCAGGGAATCAAGAATTGTTTAAAGCTTTACAAAAGAAGGTACAGGGACATCGGGAAGGGTGTTTCTTTTAATTGAATTCAAACAGAAAGAATAGTCGCTGGTTCAACGACTACTCAACATGTGGGCTTGTTTAAGCTTGATTTTAAACAGAGGTCCTCAGCATTTGCAGAGCTGTGGGGTAAATTACTAAACAATGCTTCTAATATTTTTCATTAATCATGCTTTCACTATTATAAAACCCCATAATTTGTAATGTAAAATAGATAGCCGTCGTGGATAAGTTCAATTCCAGTCGCGTCTCTGGTGTATGATAGCTGGTAATTTTAAGGTTGGCTCTAATGTAGATTATAATGGTCGATTACTGTGTATCAACGTGCTAACACTTGATGGAAAATTGCTGGTTCTCTATACGTTAGAATTCTTCTTTAAAATCTGCTTTCGAAGTCGTCTGGGCATTGGGAAGATTAATTAGATTTAGAGATGTTTTTAATGCCTAAAAAAGCAGGTTAAATCCCACTCTTAGAAAAGTTTTGATTCCGAATTCCCGATCGATAGTGCTTCTCTGTGGTGTATAGGTCTCGTTTAGTTTCTCAAATTGACGAAAGAAAGCCAGCCGTGAGCTTGATGATCTCGATGCCTTTTTCATAAAAGAATTTAAAATTGACGTTGAAATGTCCTTTTTTTGTTAAAAATATGTTGATTTGAAAAATCAATATTTATTGCCGTGGGGAGTTGCCTAAATATCGAGGGAAAAGTTTGATCACATGCTTACCTTCCACTACCTAACTGAATGGTAAATGACTATTACAACAAGGGGAAATTCGATATTGATCAGTACCGTTGCGTAAAGTGTTAGGAGAAGTAGACTACGAGCAGTCTCGCTTTTTTCTGTAGTCTGTTGAGCAAAACGCGAGACACGCAAATGGCCACACGCGTGACTGATGGCCCTCGTTTCGCGCGTCTCGCGGCTTCGCCGCTCCCGCGCGCGTGCATTGCTCTCACTAAATCTGAAGAAAAGGAGAGACTACTCGTAGTCTATAGGAGAAGCTAATTGATGTGTCCGTTTTTCTTTGATCAGAATGGAAATGATATTGATCTCAAACCAGCTGGTAGCCGACAGGTGATGAAGCATTCGTTCGTCGTACATTCTGGAGATTCTATGAATGGAGATGTGTTTTTCATGGAGGTAGGTCTCAATTCATCGCCGCACCGCGGATAGCCTGCGAACAGCAGACGTATCTCCGGTCGCGCGAGCAGACGCATTTCCGGTCGCGCGTTTGCTGTTCGCAGGCTACACCACGGAAGGATGGATATAATTATGCTATTCGTAAATTCTAAATCTAATATGGAATAGACGTTTTGAAGAAATTTAAAAAAATGATTTTTTTTTTCGTTGAGTTCTTTCCTCTGCCATTTTCCCGACAAGTTTTAGTTTGTCATCGAACATAGTTTGATTGAAGGTTATTAGAAGGGTTCTTTGTTTTTGAATAATTACTGAAGTATTTGGAGCTGCAAAGGCTTCCTGAAAAAGGAATACTTCAGTGTTGATAATACGTCTATAAGAAAACAAGAAGACAATTCTCATTTATGTAATTTACGACCCCGTTTGCATTTGTGTAAGTGTTTTGTTTTTTTTTTTAATTTAAATTTAAAAACGCCAACGTTTTGAAAAAAAATATATACAATAGTTTGTAACATTTGTAATTTTTGTGTACAATTGCAATTATTGAAACCCGTACTTCCATGGTATAAAAACGATCGCCTAGCTACCGCAATTCTAATAATACACCTTATTTCAAAATGATGGCAAATTTAGTTACTCTTTTGTCTTCCTGATATTGGCCTTTTTTCATTGTTTCAAGGCGAAAGCTCTTTTGAAACCCACATAAGTATTAAAGGCAAGTAATATTGTCACCATGTCGGACTAAGGGGCATAGACAGATGCAAATTTCCGATACTATGACCGAAGTCAAAGGCAGGCTCTCAGTCAAAGACACACATAACCTAGCAACTAAGGCCAGGGCTAAACGTCGAACTGTACATGTGACGGCGGAACTAGACTGTTTACAGTCCCCAATTTTTTCGTTAAGTCGTCGGGATCGAGCGGTTACTGTTACGGATGTCCATGCTTTCAAATGTACCGAGGGGGTAAGCCCCGGGGTTTGTAGCGGTGGGAGAATGGGGGCGAGATAAATAGAGGGTTCCTCTATTTTTCACGCCTCCTCCCAAACCAACCTCCGCCTCTCAAGTAGATTTGATACACTTCCCACGTTACAGTCGGTACATTTGAAACCAAGATGGACGCCCGTTAAGGTGGGTGCTCAATCCCCACGATCTTACGAAAAAAATTAGGGACTGTGAACAGTCTAGTGACGAACGTAATGCTAATGAGCACAATTAACAGATATTACTCTTGAGCATTAGGTTCGTCGTATGTGAAGTGCGACGTTTGACCCTGGCCAGAGAGGAAATTGAATACAACACATCCAGGAATAGCCACGACTAAAAACTCTGCGAAATGCGTTTTTGCTAATTAACACGAATACGAGGGATTTAGAAAATGCTTCGGAGGACACCTCTCCTATATTTATTAATACTCTCAACTCCAAGCACTGCGAGGGCATATTTTGACATAATTATGTAAGAATCGTAAAAATTATAGGAATTTTCTCTCTTTAGGATGAAATTAATATTTGTTTATCATAGCCAGGGGCCCATAACCCCGTGCTATCAACTTTCGTGTAACGCAAGTGAATTTGGCTCGGTTACCTCGCTACTCATGTCACGGCATTTTCACCGACGAGTTTATTTGTAAAACGATTTTGGCTTGAATTCAGAATATCGTNACCTTATTTCAAAATGATGGCAAATTTAGTTACTCTTTTGTCTTCCTGATATTGGCCTTTTTTCATTGTTTCAAGGCGAAAGCTCTTTTGAAACCCACATAAGTATTAAAGGCAAGTAATATTGTCACCATGTCGGACTAAGGGGCATAGACAGATGCAAATTTCCGATACTATGACCGAAGTCAAAGGCAGGCTCTCAGTCAAAGACACACATAACCTAGCAACTAAGGCCAGGGCTAAACGTCGAACTGTACATGTGACGGCGGAACTAGACTGTTTACAGTCCCCAATTTTTTCGTTAAGTCGTCGGGATCGAGCGGTTACTGTTACGGATGTCCATGCTTTCAAATGTACCGAGGGGGTAAGCCCCGGGGTTTGTAGCGGTGGGAGAATGGGGGCGAGATAAATAGAGGGTTCCTCTATTTTTCACGCCTCCTCCCAAACCAACCTCCGCCTCTCAAGTAGATTTGATACACTTCCCACGTTACAGTCGGTACATTTGAAACCAAGATGGACGCCCGTTAAGGTGGGTGCTCAATCCCCACGATCTTACGAAAAAAATTAGGGACTGTGAACAGTCTAGTGACGAACGTAATGCTAATGAGCACAATTAACAGATATTACTCTTGAGCATTAGGTTCGTCGTATGTGAAGTGCGACGTTTGACCCTGGCCAGAGAGGAAATTGAATACAACACATCCAGGAATAGCCACGACTAAAAACTCTGCGAAATGCGTTTTTGCTAATTAACACGAATACGAGGGATTTAGAAAATGCTTCGGAGGACACCTCTCCTATATTTATTAATACTCTCAACTCCAAGCACTGCGAGGGCATATTTTGACATAATTATGTAAGAATCGTAAAAATTATAGGAATTTTCTCTCTTTAGGATGAAATTAATATTTGTTTATCATAGCCAGGGGCCCATAACCCCGTGCTATCAACTTTCGTGTAACGCAAGTGAATTTGGCTCGGTTACCTCGCTACTCATGTCACGGCATTTTCACCGACGAGTTTATTTGTAAAACGATTTTGGCTTGAATTCAGAATATCGTTGAAGTCCCACAAACTTGTCAGCAAAACCTCCAGCCCTGGAAACAATATTTTGACATTTTACTTTAGTGACGTTTTGTTTTCCATTTTCATACCTTATTCTTCAAATGCGCTCGTAGATAGAGCAACGTGACGTAACTGCTTCTCCTCCCAATCATCCTTCCATAAAAACGCCGTGATGTAAGGCTACTGGGTAGTGTGAGAGTTGCTTGCTTTGGGTTATGAGCTCCTGTCGTAGCCAAATAATGCTTAACCCCAGCACTCTTTTTTTGCATAGGTATGTGACGATTGTATCCTGTTAAGAACTGGAACAGGGACGATCGTGGAAAGATGGTGGTACGAGAAAATAGTGAACATCACTTACGCTCCCAAAACTAAAGTACTATGTCTATGGTGCAGGCAAAAGGAAGAGACCATTCTAAACAAGTTCTGCACCAAAAAGGTTGGTCTGATCCCCCTCGGATAATAGAGAGCTTTAGATTCCAAGCCGAAGACGACTACGAAAACCAGATTTTCTCAGTACTAAGTTGTGCGCAGGAACCAGGGTCATTTTGGCGGGAAAACGTGATAGCCGTCGTCATTCTACCACGGGTTTTAGCGAGAGTGCTGTAGAGGCGAGATCAAGTTATCGAATGTTAAAAGTTTTATCATTTCGCGATCGGAAGGGGGTTTAAACCCCTAAAATAACCCGTGCTCACTTTTCTGGTTAAAAAAAAAGTGGAATGAAGCCATCTGGGAAAACGCGAAAAAAAAATTGAAGTCAAATCTCGGTCTTCGTAGTCATCCGCGTCCTTGAATCCCGAGCTCTCTTTATCCTCTCTCTCATGCCCATACCCTGCAATTATTTCGTGAGCAATCGAGTTGTCTAGTGATTGTTGATTAATTTATTTGGCCATTATTATGTAGTTAAATGAAATTTAACACAGTTAATAACTAGGAGCGCAGCCGTTGGTCAGCGGTCATTGCGTTGGCTCAAGCGCGGTCAGGCTTGCTTGCATCATTTCCTTGTGCTTAGTACAGCGTTTCCTGGCGGCCTCTCTCTTCATTTAGCCTATGGATCATTCTTTTATCCCCATCCCTCCCCCTCTGATAAATCAGTGTGACGGGTGCCTGGTTCCATTGTCGTGGGGGTTCATGGCTGGAAGGCGCGGGTTTACCAGCCATAGGGGCATAACTCTGTCTAGGGGCTGGCTTTGCCAAAAGTGGAAGCCCCTGGACATCCCGGGCACTCACCTTCACCAAGCAACGGAGTTGTTAACTATTTGTTTATTCCATTAACGCAGTGCAAAGCTTTGTATTACTGTATCAAGGAAAGTTTGCAGAGAGCAGCTGACAGGCTGAACGACAAAGGATCAGGTTAGTGAGACAATATGGTCATTTTTTGACACAAGGTTAAGTGCAAAAGAATAGATCTCTCTGTGTTGAATTGTAACAACGAGAACCTAGTATATGGTTTCCATGAGTTCTCCGTAGCTTAAGTGGATAGAGCGCCCGCCCGGTGTTTGGGAGGTCATAGGTTCGAATCCTGTCGGGGACTCAGAATTTTTCTTTGTCCTACGCTTGTGACATGCTGGCTACTTCATTTTCGCATTTGTTTCACCTACGTTAAAATTTACCATCTTTCATTCTTTCACGACGAGAAGTTTTGTTTGTTCGTTTCTGTTTTTGTTTTTTTGTTTGTTTGTTTTTTCACGACTTTTCATTGTCTGTGGTGAATACGTTCCCCATAATTGTTGTGTACAGCTTCTTGTTTGTGGTAATTTTTTTGTTTACATCCATGTATTTGAAATAGTGTTACCACGCTTGTGTATCTGATGGCAACGCTATCTGTTCGTGTGTAATTTATGTCATTTTGTACATCTATGCTTATTTGCGTTGTGTTTGTCTACTTGTGTACTGATTTTTCTTAAACTTCTCTCCCTTGCAGATTGAGTAGATACCAAATTACTTGTGGACCTTTGTGTTTTAGCGTATATTGTTTTGTTGTGTTGTTGTCATTCCTTTACAGCTTGTGTTTTCATTACGCACCGTGTCTGTAACGTAAGACTGGTTGATCATTATCCTCGTGCATTAGTGTACTATGTCCTTTGTCATTCGTTAGTTAGCGTGACCCCACGATCTGTGACGCTTTGTTACCATTAATCGTGGGTAGACCTTCGATTCCCAAAGAATATAGAGGGAACATGTTATCTAGGGGGGTGGGGAGGGGGGGTGGGGGTGGTGTCAGCC